CCAGGAAAGGGTCCAGACCTCTGGGGGCCCTTCCCAGGCCCTGGGGCAGTCAAAAACGACGCGGGATGGCAAGCCGCTCCCGGGGAAAGTCCAGACCTCCAAGGGCACGCAAGAGGGCCTCTTGAGCAAGAGCCACCTCTGGTGCGCGGCCTGCTGATCGTTGTGCGCGGTGCGACACTGGCGGCCGGCGGGCTCGCGGGTGCCCCCCCCCCCCGCCCCGCGCCCCCCCAGAAGCCGCGGACCAGAGGTCACCCTGGCGAAGAGCCACGCTCACGTGTGGCCGAGTATCCACCCCTGCGGAGGCCATTCCGCGAGGGCCCCTGGATGCAGCGCATGCGGGTCTGGGGACCCAGAGTATGCATGTCCACGGCCTCCCGAAAAGTCCTGGGAGGTCGGTACCCGAAGGCAGTGGGTGTGAACAGCTCCTGGCTTCGGAGAGAAGGCGGCCGCGCAAACGACCCGCGCTATCGCCAGGGTGAAGGGGATGATGGCCTGCTGCAGCAGCACCTGCATCAGCCCTGGCACCCTGGGGTTCGCGAAGATCATCCCCGACCCTTGCAGGCCGTTGCACACGCCGATGGCGGCAAACGCCGAGAAGCACGACCAAGTCCGCGTCTCCGGCTGGAACCCGCCCGTGGTGACCACGATCGCCGTGCAGATGGCGCCGAAGATCGCGACGAACGCTCCGGACACGCTCAGCAGCACGAACGTCGGATAGGGCCCCAGGCAGTAGCCCACGCCCTTAAGTGTCATGTAACAAGATTAAGGCATGCTCCCACTTTGCTTCTCAATTTGGGCGCAATGCGTGTTACGTTTTCCAATCTTGGAACAACCCGTGTCCCACCTGCCCGGTATCTTGCCGTGTTTTGTACCGTGCTCTGTGCGTTTTGAGAAATCACGATGCCGCCTGCCTGACGCACACTTTCCGTGGCGCCACATTTTTCACACGCAGTGGGCCTTGAAGGCGAGGCGCTGGCCCACCGTACTGGCCAGCAGCGCCACAAACAGCCCCGCCTGCACCAGCGCTGGCGCGGCCATCGATGGCCACGCCGATGCGTCCAGCCAGGACTCTTGAGCAGGGACCGACCGTCCCAGCATTCTGATAGGCCTACCACGAAATATTCGTAGAACCCAAACAAGTTCTAATAACAAGAAATGTTTTTAGAACATGCGCCCAATCCTTAACAGCAAAACAGTCTCAGCCAGAAATGCTCCAGAAAAGATTCTTAGAACATTGTTTGATGAGCCTATCGGCGAGCCGGGACGCTTCGCCACTGCTTGAGACTCAGAGTCGAGGGTGCGAATCGCGTTCACGACATTCTCGTGCACAAGCGCGTCCCTACGCGCACACCTGCGGCCACCGCCTCGCGCTATGCGAGCGCCGGCGGGGCACCAGGAGCGGCGCTGCACCTGCCCCTCGAGCCGCATGGCCGCGGGCATGTGGCGGGCACACAGCGTGGCCTCGGCAGGGCCGCCCCGGGGCCCCAAACCAGGCGGCAGGAGGAGGCAGCTAGGGGGCCACATGCGAACCCTACCCCTACCCCCCACGATTTCTGAGAAGGAGGGTTCACTCCGCTCGGGAGCTCCCGAACGGAGTGAACCCCACCCTCCCCCTCAGAAAACGTGGGGGGTAGGGGTAGGGTTCGCATGTGGCCTCCTGGCAGCGGTGAGGGGGGAAGCTCGAGCACCTCCGAGCCCCGGGGGCTGGTTCACAGGACCCTCGGCCGTCTACGGGAGCATGTTGGGGCTTGGAGGCAGCCCGGGGGGGCTGCACTGGCCGGGGCCCCAAGACATCCGTCACGAGAGGGGGCGATGGGGGGGGGGCAACTTTGCTCAAGATCGGCCCGCTGCAGTCTTTGACCCGCGATCCGTTTCCGATTCCTTGTTGACACTCCTGGGAACCGAACGCGGCCCCTGGAACCCGAAACGGCAAAGAACTGCCTCGAACCTTCAAGCCTCGAGCATGCCAACCCTTCGAAGATCCTGCCCGCTGGAACCAAAGCTGGGACACCTCAGCCCCCCAGCCGGCTCAAACTTGGGGCTACCGACGTCCCGTGGCCGGGGGGGAAGGGTTCCTCGGAAGTCCCTCCCCCCCTCGAGGAGGAGGAGGAGGAGGAGGAGGAGGAGGAGGAGAAACAAGAGGAGGAGGAGGCGGAGAAGGAGGAGGAGGACGAGGAGGATGAGGAGGAGGAGGACGAGAAGGAGGAGGAGGAGGAGGAGGAGGAGGAAGAGGAGGAGGAGGAGGAGGAGGAGGAGGAGGGAGGAGGAAGAGGGGGAGGGGTGGCCACCCAATGGCCCCGCCCCGCACACGCTCCGCCTAGGCTGGCCGTGGGGGATGGCTCGGGCTCGGGCTCTTGCTCGGGCTCTGACTCAAGGGTTCCTCAGGAGTCCCCCCCGCACGCGCCCATCCCTGGGCGCCGCCAAGAGCTGGGGCCCCCCGCGGCGCCACTACTCGCCTGGAGTCCAGCCACCGCGCCAGGGCGGCGACCACTGCGACGACGACCACTGCGACGACGACCACTGCGACAGCAACGACGACGACGACGATGACGACGACGACAACGACGGCGACGGCGACGGCCGTCGACGGCGACGACGACGGCAACAGCGACGACGACGACGACGACGACGACGACGACGACGACGACGACGACGACGACGACGACGACGACGACGACGACGGCGGCGGCGGCGGCGGCGACCACTCACGACAACGACGACGACGACGACAACTCACGACGACGACGACGACCACGACGACGACGACGAGCCGGCGCGTCCTCCGAGGCCTGCTTTCTGCGCTTCTTCGGCGGCGGGGCCTCCTGCGCAAGTGCGGGGGGGGTCGGGCGCGGACCCCCCCGCCGCGCAGGCCGCCGAGTTCGGGGCCGCGGCGCTGGCGGCAGCGAGATGCTTTCTCGGCCGCTGCGTGTTCACTCTCTCCATCTCCCTCGTCCCCCTCTTCTGGGCATCGCTCGGACGTCCATTCCCTGTGCTTTGTTCGGTCTCGTGCGCGGCCTTTTCGCCAGATGATCAAGGATGCTCCTCAAGGGTCCTCGCCGAAGGAAACATGCACACGTCCGAGCGATGCCAAGTCTTCCCTCTCTTCCTCCTCCTCCTCGTCCTCCCCCTCCGTCCGCCTGCTCCTCCTCTTCATCCTCTCTCCTCCTCTCCTCGTCCTCCTCCTCCTCTTCCTCCTCCCTCTCCTCCCCCTCCTCCATCAGTACTCGCCATCCCGGGGCCATCCCTGTCCTGGTCATCTTCATCGTCCTCGTCCTCGACCTCTCTGAGCGGCCCGCACGGGTACGGAAGATATGGGCACGATGCCCAGCAACTAAAGTGTGATCCAAAACCGACAGCGCCGGCTGCCGGGCAGCTGACCATCTGTCTCAAAAAGAAAACGTCCACGGGGACACGGACAGCGAGTCCTGCCCAACATGAGCAAGAACTGCTGCCGCTCTTCGCACCGATTCTTTCACTACCCATTCCGATCGTCCTCGTCCTCGGCCGCGTCCTCGCCGCAATCCCCGTCGCTCTCCTCCTCCTCCTCCTCCTCCTCCTCGCTCCTCGCTCCTCGGGCTCCGGGGGCCCTTCTCCAGGCCCTGGGGGCCATCAGAGGCGCATCGGGGCCGCAGGACGAAGGAAGTATACCCCGCCGCACAGAACTACCCTGCGGCGCACGTTAGGTTCGTGCGGCGTCGACGAGCGCAAAAGTTTTTGGCGCGCCGCGGCGATCGTTCAATCGTGAATCGGTCGCAGCCCCGATCGTTCGAGGTTGAATTCCGTCGGGCTCTGTGGCGTTGCCGTGGCCCCTCAGTGCTTCCGCGTCGTACTCTCATGCGGAATTCAACCTTGAACGCCTTCGCTGGCGTGGCCAGCGCGCCATCGCCGCATGAACCTACCGTACCCAACACATCTGCATTAAGTGACAAGATGAGTTGGTCTAGAACACGATGGATGATGACCACACTTGATCTGTCAGTGCTTGCGCAAACTACGGTGATGGCATTAGATAGTGAAACCTTCAATAGAAAATCCAGGGTCTGAAAACCAGTGGAAAGCCAATCGTGGATCGGCCATGGATATCACCGCAGCCCTCATCATATAAGGAACCCTCCAGGGTCTGAAGCCTCCTGGGCACGTTCCTTAACGAACGCCCCCACCGTACATCGGACACGCGCGCGCTGCACGACTCACAGGGGCCGCAGGACCGAGCACCCTCCCGCGGAAGGGGCCGGGAGCTCCTGGGGCTGCGGGCCGAACCAGAACACAAGCATCTGAGGGCTTCCCGGGGACGGCGGCGACGACGAGGGCGGCGTTCCGGCGGCGTTCCGGAGGGCCGCGGGCGTCTCTCTTTGAGCAGGGACCGGCCGTCCCGGCATTCCTATAGGGCTACCACGAAATTTCTTTAGAACCCCAAAATGTTGAAAGACCAAGAGCAATGTTTTTAGAACATAAGCCCGATGCGTTAAAACAAGACAGACTCAGCCAGAAATGTTCTAAGAGCATTTCCTGCAGACCACAACTGACCATCGCTCGGACGTCCATTCCCTATGTTTTTTTCGGTTTCGTGCGTGGCATTTTCGCAGGATGACCCAGGATGCTCCTTAATAACCCCCGCCAAAGAAAAAGTGCACACGTCCGAGCGATACCAAGACAAAAGATTCTTAGAACATTCTTTGGTGGGCCTACAGGCGTGCCAGGACTCTTCGCCACTGCTCGATTCCTGGAGGCTCTCGTCGCCTTTGCCCAGGCGCGGCCCGTTGGAGGCCGACCAGAACGGGCCCACAGGAGGGGTCCGGTGGCCCATTCTGGAAGGGGCTGGGTGGCAGTGGCGATGGCCGCGGCGGCGGCGCGCCGCCCTCGTCGTGGCGGTGTTTGTTTTGTTTGTTTGTTTTGTTTTTTTCTCGTCGTGGCAGTGTTCGAAGCCAACGCGGATCCTTCACATCCATCCACTCTTCCACTGTCGTCCTCCGCATCTACTCTCCGTACCAATCTTCCTC